GCTGTCTCTCTCTCTCAGAAATAAACATTAAAAAAAAAAAAGGGACCTAAAATCTTTAAGCTGATTCCAAAATTGAAGTGAGGAGAAAATCGGTGGTGAGACCAGAACAAAGCACCCCTGCTTTGGAGAAGGTCTGTTAAACAAGTCAACTGAGGATGGATTGGTAGAGAGGTGTCTATATATACATTTTCAAGTCATTTTTCCTTGTGCAGAATCATCCAGATTTTCCCAAGACTGAATGGGCAGTCCTGTGACTTCATTCCTTTTCTATAGTCCCAACAAGGCTACATGAAGTTCAACTCTTGATTAGTTGCTTACACACAGTTCCTTAGGAGCCAACACAACAGGTGAGTGAGATTTCCCTATGAGAAACAAACTGGCCACCTACAGCAAAGTACCAAAATGGACAAAGTTCTTTGTTTCCTCTTCCTTCCGATTATTATACTAGGTATTTTCTAAGTATTACCTGTAATCATCACAAAAGTCCCACCTTTAGATAAAGTAATTGAAATGCAAAGACCTCATAAGTAGTGGATTAGAATTCGATCCCAGGTCTGTGGGATCCAAATGCCTATTACATTACACATTTGGATGTACTACATAATAAAATCATCATGGGGATATATAAATCTTAATTCAAATATGGCTTACATGGCTGAAAACATTGATTAAATAATAAATCTAGTTTGCGTTACAATTTTGGGCTCAATTCTGCACTTCATTGAGAATATGCAGACATAGGCTGAAATAAATACAGAGAAAAACCAAGCTTCTCTCATGATTGTGGCACTGTTCCTTGTGCATACTGTTTAAAGATATTTTCAAAAACTTAGTTTAATTAGGGGTGCCTGAGTGGGTCACTTGGTTGAACATCAGCTCTTGGTTTCAGCTTAGGTCATGATCTCACAGTTCATGGATTTGAACCCTGCATAAGGCTCTGCAATGACAATGCGAATCCTGCTTGGGATTCTTTCTCTCCCTCTCTCTGCCCCTGTCCCCACTCACTCTCTTTGTCTCTCAAAATAAATAAATAAACTTTAAAAGTAGTAGTTTAATTAAAACAAGTTTGCAAAATTCTTTTATGAATACAATGCCTCTTATATTAGTATGTTACAGGAATATTTTGATTACATAACTTTTTTGTTTATATATGCATGGCTACAGTGATAATACAAAAAGAAGCAATAAAAACAGAAGTAGAAACTTTCTACATTTCCTTTGATATACAATCTTCATGTCTGTAATTAAAGTTAAGGATCTTACATGGCCCAAAATAAGTAAGATCTTTTCAAAACCTGAAGAAAGAGAGTTTAGGATATAATTTAGAACCTTAGAATTCAACTCTTTATAATATACATTAAAAAATAAAAGTTGGGTGGCTCAGTCAGTTAAGCGTCCGACTCCGGCTCAGGTCATGATCTCACAGTTCGTTGGTTCGAGCCCACATCAGGTTCTGTGCTGGCAGCTCAGAGTCTGGAGCCTGTTTTGGATTCCGTGTTTCCCTTTCTCTCTGCCGCTTCCCCGCTCATGCTCTGTTTCTCACTGTCTCAAAAATAAATAAACTATTAAAAAAAAGGTTCACATACTTGTCTAATTCTTTATCTTTTCTGTCTCCCCTCAAAAAAAACTATTTTTATTTTAATTTTTGAAATTAGTAGCCTGCTAGATATAAGGGTTATCTTTATTGAAGTCACTTCTGTGGTTCAAAACCATATAAGTAGGAAAGAAATCAATGAACAGCATTTAAGGCATATCTGCAATGAGCCTATTACTTCTTCAGGGCTATAAAAGTAAAAAAAAAAAAAAGGTATTTGATTGCAGTTAACATACTATTGATTACAATACACACCATTATTTTGTGTACTATCAGGAGAGAATAATAATGCAAATTAAACTATTCAGTGTGTGGAGTGCCTGAGTGGCTCAGTCAGTTAAGTGTCTGACTCTTGATTTGGGCACAGGTCATGATCTTACAGTTTGCAAGGTCTATCCTGCATCGGATTCCTTGGGATTCTCTCTCTTCCTCTTTCTCTCTGACCCTCCCCTCTTCACTCATTTTCTCTCTCTCTCTCTCAAAATAAATAAATAAACATTAAAAACAAATAAACAATTATAATGTTTAAGATGTCAACATTGATTATAAGATGCATCTTGACTTTAGAGAAGTTAATAATATGAAAAAGTGTGCACTTTAGAATTGACAAAATTTGGGGCATTTGAGTGGCTCAGTCCCTCAGGTGTCCAGGTCGACTCAGGTCATGATCTCATGGTTCATGACTTCAAGCCCCGCATTGGGCTCTGTGCTGACAGCTCAGAGCCTGAAGCTTGCTTTGGATTCTGCTTCTCCCTTTCTCTGCCCTTCCCCAACTCATGTTCTGTCTCTCTTTGTCTTTCTCAAAAATAAACAGTTTAAAAAATTTTAAATTGAATTGATAAAATTCAAAACTAAAAATAGATCCTGATTTCCAAGAGCTTACAGTTCCATTTGGGAGGGAGAAATCAATGGAAAAAAAAATCACAGAATGGGAAATCAGTATTTACAAAAATATAGAGGTAAAAAAATAATTCATGTTGTAGGGAAACTTCCTGGCTATAAATTAGGGTATATGTTGGGAATAAAATTTATACAGTACAGTGAGTCTAGGTTATATAAGCTTCAAAAATCAGGTGGAAATGTTTGGGCTTGTAGTGTTTATGAACAGTAAAAGTGACATGATAAGAAATATATTATTATAAAGGCTAAAGAAAATAATCAGAGGACCAATTAGAAAACTAAAGTAATAATCCAGATATAAGGAACAAGACAACTTGGATTACGTTGAAGCCCATAAGAAGAACTGATGGCTCAAAGGACACTTTTTAAAAATGAAAGATATTGAAAAAATGAATATAGAGATTGAACAAAAGTTCATCAAACATGATATGAAAGGTTAAAACAAGGGAAACTTGGACATTCATCTTATGAAGGTTATGAATTAGAGTTTTATAGAGTGTTGAGGAATCCAATTAATTTATTTAGTGCCTGTCATATTTTAAGCATTCAATAACTTTTTCACAGATGGACAAATGAGTGAGTAAAGCCGGGACATCTAAGTTGAATTGAGGCCATTCACATAGAGGTGATGGTCAATAAGAAAATATGAGGGACACCTGGGTGGCTCAGTCAGTTAAGCGTCTGACTTCAACTCAGGTCATGATCTCATGGTCTGTGAGTTGGAGTCCAGCATCGGGTTCTGTGTTTACAACTCAGAGCCGAGAGCCTGCTTCAGATTCTGTGTCTCCCTCTCTCTCTGCCCCTGCTCTGATCATGCTCTGTCTCTCTCTTTTTCAAAAATAAAATAAAAACATAAAAGTTTTTTTAAAAAACTAAGAAAATATGAATTTCTCAAAAGATCCAGTTTAGAGAAATCCCAGTCAAGGACAATGCCCTGGGGGACAAATTTTGGAGGCCTGAAAGGCAAGTGAAATCTGAAAAGAAACCAAATAAGGAGAAGTCATGAAGGTCAGGAGAAAATATGGGTTGTGTAATCAAAGGTCAAATAGAGTTTAAAATAAAAATGTTGTCTAACGGTATGAAAACTTACAGAGAGGCCAAGGTACAGAGAAACAACAAAAGGTAATTTGACATAATAAATGAGATCAACTGGAAATTTTATATAGAATGACTCCATCAGAGTGGTAGAGACAGCTGTCAAATTAGAGGGTTGAAGAGATTTGATGGATTGGAAGCAAAGGCAGATGTAGGTCATGCTCAGAAAGTACTAGATTGTCAATGACAGAAAACTCCCCTTCCATGGCGTTATCCTCAAGTAATGTTCTCTACACTTCCTGCCAGGAATTTATCTTCTTCTAAACATATGTGTGTGTGTGTGTGTGTGTGTGTGTGTGTGTATGTGTGTGTGTGATTATACCTACTATATATATATGATTATGCCTACTATATATATGAAACACATATTTTTATTTAAAATTATAGAAATGGAGAAGAAAACTGTGATCAAATTATTCAAAAATCAGGAATAATATGGATAATGTTAACTAAGTTAGTAAATCCTAGGATATTAAAAAATACTAGTGAGTGTATCTTGAAGTTTAAAAGAAGTAATTTTAGGGGCGCCTGGGTGGCTCAGTTGGTTAAGCGTCCATCTTCGGCTCAGGTCATGATCACACGGTTCATGGGTTCGAACCCCATGTCGGGCTCTGTGCTGATGGCTAGCCCAGAGCCTGGAGCCTGCTTCAGATTCTGTGATTCTGTATCTCCCTCTCTCTCTGACCCTCCCTGCTCTCTCTGTCTCTGTCTCTATCTCTCTCTCTCAGAAATAAATAAAACATTAAAAATTTTTTAAAAAATAAAAGTAATTTCATGTCAACCAAAAGAACACAGTGGGTAGTAACATTATCTGAAAATGTTGTCTAAAGCACTGGAATAAGCAAACAACAGAATAATAGTCAAGAGGTTTAGAAAATGTCTAGGTCATACACCAACTGATCCAATCCAGTAAGGAAACCATCTGTATTTCTGGATATTAGATGCATGAATTAGAAAGCCATAGTGCTTTCCTTCAAAATATGTCTTGGTGTCATGAGTGGAATAGGTGAAGGAGATTAGAGAGCACACTTACCATGATGAACACTGAGTAATGTATAGAATTATTAAATCCCTTCATTGTACACCTGAAACTAATATAAAAATATAACATATGTTAACTATAATGGAATTAAATTTTAAAACTTTTTTAAAATGTGTCTTGGTGTCAACATTCAGCTGGATGACCAATTGGTACAATGCAATATAACATTTCTTTTATTTTTATCTTCAATCCTCTCAATTGAGTCAGCAGTTCCTAGTAACTTTTGCTTCTCTGGAAATACTCCTAAGGAACTATATATTTATGTGGAAGTATCTCTATAAATATTCTATGAGAATGACGAGTAAAAGCTAGAATCACTAGAGCTGAGTATGTAGAAGAAAGTGCTCATTCTTTTCACAAATTGTTTAAGTGCTCACACTGGCAGCACACATACTAAAATTGGAATGCTACAGATAAGCTTAGCATGGTCCCTGTGCATGGATGATATACACATTTGTGAAATGTTTCATGTTTTTTAAAAAACTGGTTATTTAAAGCTATTTGAGATGAGACTATGTAGAGTGAAAGGATTTTTTGTGATCTTTGAGAGGTCACTCATTTGATGATAGTTGTCTTTCAATTCCTAATGCTTAGATTTAAAGAAAAAACAAAACCAAGATTGAAAGCCTTCAGATTTTAAAGAGTTGGATTTAAATACAGTGATAAATAAGTATTTAACATGAGGAGAGTAAGGCATATTGGATCGATGAACTTAGGGGAAAAATGCAAATTTCACAACTCTTTCAGTGCTGAAATTCTAGAAAGCAGAGTTCAAGAGTAGTGAAGTAAAAGTCAGGGAATAAAGGTTATATGGCTAGATTTTTTGCTGATCTCAGTTTCAGATTTTGTTAATTTTCCAAATGAAGTATATATCCCAACTCTAAAACTACAAGCTGCCTCAGTTTAAAAATTGCAGCAAATGTTGAGAAACTTTGCATGACTGGTTTTTTTTTTTTTTATTTTTATGGAAAGACTGTGAAAGATGATGTGCTCGTCTATAGTTGCTCTTTTTGTACACTCTTGTAACAAGTATAGAGTATTTGTCTGCTGATCAAACATGTTAAAGTAGCTGTCTTGGAAAAAAAGCAAACATACATTTTGGTTTTATTTATTTAATTTACATTTCTTATGTTGTTGTGTTTTTGTTTTTTACATTTCTTATCTTTCTCTAAAACAAATCAAGGTGTGTGGCTTTCTTTAAATATACTTTTAAACACATAGGCATTAGTCTAAAAAAATTAACTATGCTGCATAAGAAATGATTTCTTTTTACATAAGTAAATCATCAGCATATTAAGTGCTTGAATGTTCAAAAAGGTATTATTAATCTAGTTCTAGACACTCGTACACTACTGAATTTAGTATCTGCTTTTGTACCCTATACACAATGAAACCATTGAAGTACTTTTCCAAGAAAAATATAAAAAATTCAAACCATGGAGGAAAAAGTTTTCTTACTGGCTAGTGTAATTTTTAAAAAAATCTTTACCATGATGTTTTATATTTGATTTAAAATGATGGAGGAAGGAGGTTATAAATCAAACAGAATTATCTATATGTTGATAAGTATTGAAGCTGAGTGATGGGTACATGGGAGGAGGGTTAATTTTGCTATTCTTTCTCCTCTTGTTTGAAATTTTGAAAATGTCCATTATTGAAAAGTAAACAAATAACTAAAATAAATAAAAACAAATTAACTTTAATCAGAATATTTACCTTTGTGATACTCTGAAATTGGACAATGTCTTTGGAATTTAAGCTTCTTAAAAATTGTATTTATTGACGCAAAAGAAAAAGCAAAAAAATAAAAGGAAACAAAGAAAAAAAATTACCTAGCTAGCTAGCTAGCTAGAGAAAGGCAGGGAGAGAAAGACTAGCCTGATAACTTGCCCTAATATTATTAAACTATTATTAATATCTAATTGCTATTAATATTAATAATATGTTAGTATTAATATTATTGAATTATTTGGGAAAATAACTCAATAACTGTTCTGTAATCTACTCTGGACTTTTTTTACTTTCTTATTTTTTAATGTATTTTATTATTTATTTTTTAAGTAAGCTGTATGTCCAGCATAGGGCTTGAGCTCATGACCCAAGGTCAAGAGTTATGTGCTCTATAGACTGACCCAACCAGGCATTCCATTTTACTTTTTTATTTTTGTATTTCTACTTTAAGGAGGAGTGATGTCTAAGAAGTCTGCTCTCATCATTTATTTTACATGTTAAGTATGTTATTAGTGTTTCAGCTTGATTCAGATTACTTTTACAATGTTTTTAAAAAGTGATTTTTATGTCATTGTACAATATACATTTTAAAATGTATAGAGTTTTGCCAGTCCTTTCACCATCAAAGATCAGCACTGCATAGAGTTTTATTATTATTTTACAAAAGGAGAAGAACAGTATAACTTCATTGTGCATGAGTAGAGGGGCTTGTGTGCATGTATGTGTATGTGTGACTATTTATGTCTTAGTAGCATAGATGACTTCTAACTCACAAGCTGTAGAGTCATACAACGTGTGCTCATCTCCATGGTAACCATTTCTAAGATAAATTCACTTCTGAACAATGATCCCAAAATAGTCTATTACCCGTTTTTGTAGATTTCCATTATAGCAGCAAAAAATAATTTTGAAAAATTTTGATCCATTCCTTAACCAACAAAAATAGAGACAATAAATATATATCAAAATCTGTGAAGAAACTATGGTTAAGTGCAGTAGTAACTTCTATAATAAACCCAAGATTTTGTTTGGTCTCATTTTCATCTTATGGATTATCTGTATTTATGCTTCTCCTGCAACTTTTTGGCTTCCTACATTTTAGCCATTTTCCTTTTTGAGATTTCTTGGCTGTAAAATAGAGAGGAAGAAGTGATCTTCCAGGTCTCTTTCAGCTCTAGGATTTTATGATTTTATGATCTCTCTACTCAGCCTGAAACGTTATAAGAACATGAGCTTGAAAAACAAAAACAATTGAAACCTAAGTCAGACAATTTTTTTCTTCTTACTAGGTTAAATAAAGGAGAGTGAGGATTTTTTAAAAAGAGTTTTCTTTATTTGCAATGCATATTTTTATACTTTTTTAAAAAGTAGATTCCATGCCCAACATGGAGCTTGAACTCACAACTTTCAGATCAAGAGCTATCTGTTCCAGGGCTGAGTCAGCCAGGAACCCCTATAAAGGAGAGTTTTAAAAGTATTTACTGTAACAACTGGATTGCTGTTCCTATAAATTCCAAATTTTTAGTCTTTTTTCCCCCTATATAAGTCGGCTACATTTTCTTAACTTTTATTAGGATATCTTAATTTTCTCAAATGAGAACAAGTTGAATGGAGTTCTTTCATTGGAGAAAACCTTTCCTGTGGTTTTAAGGATGCTCATTTTGCACATACTCCCAATTTTCCTCTGTTGGAGTTTCAATGTCTGAGTCCTTCAAGGGATTGGGGAAGACTCTGTGACCCTCAGATGGGCTGGGTCAGAACATATGTCAAAGGAGGAAGGGTAAAAAGCAGGACAGATTCTACCCAAACCTTTTTAGTTCCTGGGAAATGGAAAGCCGATTGCTTGGGCTTTAGTTTCTCTATTCCCCCCTCAACAACTTCCAGGGCCATTACATTCTCTATGTTCCTAGATTTGCAATGATCGGAAAGAGGCAGGTTCCCTAAACTTTCATTCAGAGCAGACTACAGCAGAATTGTAACACCACATTTTCCTTTGAGAGTAGTCTTTACTTTGGGCCCAACTCCTTTAGAATTCCTTTTAGATTGCTTCCTTCCTTTGGAGTATCTTCTCTCAGAGTTCACCTGAATGCTGACAAGTCCTCCTTTTCTGCTTTCTTCAGTGATGAAGAAAACTCCTCTTTCTCTTATCTGGGCTTAGCACATCCTGGCCAGACCACCAAGACAATCACTGTTATTCTTGCCAATCCCAGACTCACTCCCAAACATACTAACTCCTCTTAGATCTTCATTCTTGGTACAAGTCTGCCTACTGACCTAACAAAGGAAAAAAGGGACTGGAGAATTTGTGTTCACCTCTTGGATACATGTATTTTTTTTTCCAATTTATTTATTGTTTAATTTACATCCAAGTTAGTTGGCATTTGGTGCAACAATGATTTCAGCAGATTCCTTAATGCCCCTTGCCCATTTAGACAGTCCCTCCTCCCACAACCCCTCCAGCAACTCTCTGTTTGTTCTCTATATTTATGAGTCTTTTATGTTTTGTTCTCCTCTCTGTTTTTATATTATTTTTGCTTCTCTTCCCTTATGTTTATCTGTTTTCTTTCTTAAATTCCTCATATGAGTGAAGTCATACGATATTTGTCTTTCCCTGACCGACTAATTTCACTTAGCATAATACCCTTCAGTTCCATCCACATAGTTGCAAATGGCAAGATTTCATCCTTTTAGATTGCCGAGTAATACTCCATTGTGGAGTATATATATATATATATATATATATATATCACATCTTCTTTATCCATTCATCCGTTGATGGACATTTGGGCTCTTTCCATACTTTGGATATTGTCGATAGCACTGCTATAAACATTGCTATAGAAAGCTTATTAAAGAAATTGAAGAAGACAGAAAAAAATGGAAAAATATTCCATGCTCCAGGACTAGAAGAACAAACATTGTTAAAATGTTAGTACTACCCAAATCAATCTGCCTATCCAATGCAATCCTTAGCAAAAATAACACTACCATTCTTCATAGAACTAGAACAAACAATCCTAAAATTTATATGGAACCAGAAAAACCCCAAATAGCCAAAGCAATCTTGAAAAAGAAAACCGAAGCTGGAGGCATCACAATCCCGGACTTCAAGCTATATTACAAAGCTGTAATTTTCAGCACAATATGGTACTGGCACAAGAACAGACACTCAGATCAATGCAACAGAACAGAAAACCGAGAAATGGACCCACAAATGTATGGCCAACTAATCTTTGACAAAGCAAGAAAGAATATCCAATCGAATAAAGACAGTTTCTTCAGCAAGTGGTGCTGGGAAAACTGGACAGCAACATGCAGAAAAATGAACCTGGACCACTTTCTTATACCATACACAAAAATAAACTCAAAATGGATGAAAGACCTAGATGTAAGATAGGAAGCCATCAAAATCCTCATGGAGAAAGCAGGCAAAAACCTCTTTGACCTTGGCCACAACAACTTCTTACTCAACACGTCTCCAGACGCAAGGGAAACAAAAGCAAAAATGAACTTTTGGGACCTCATCAAGATAAGAAGTTTCTGCATAGTGAAAGAAACAATCAACAAAACTAAAAGGAAATTTGTAGAATGGGAGAAGATATTTGCAAATGACATATCAGATAAAGAGTTAGTATCCAAAATCTATAAAGAACTTATCAAACTCAACACCCAAAACACAAATAATCCAGTGAAGAAATGGGCTAAAGACATGAACAGATACTTCTCCAAAAAAGACATCCAGATG